TTTCATGAATAATGCATAATTTTAAAAAAGGTGTGAAAATCACCCAAAATCGATCAAAACCATGGGGTATAGTCCATGCTTTTTGACAAAAAACGACCTATTTTTAATATTTCATGAATAATGCATAATTTTAAAAAAGGTGTGAAAATCAACCAAAATCGATCAAAACCATGGGCTATAGTCCATGCTTTTTGGCCAAAAACGACACATTTTTAATATTTCATGAATAATCCATAATTTTAAAAAAGGTGTGAAAATCACACAATATCGATCAGAACCATGGGCTATAGTCCATGCTTTTTGACCAAAAACGACCCATTTTCAATATTTCATGAATAATGCATAATTTTAAAAAAGTTGTGAAAATCACCCAAATTCGATGAAAACCATGGCTATAGTATATGCTTTTTGACCAAAAACGACCCATTTTCGATATTTCATGAATAATGCATATATAATTTAAAAAATGGTGTGAGAAACACACTTGTGAGTTGAGACTTAATGTTTCGTTCCGCAATGACCGAGACAATGGTGCCATTTAACCATGGTTATATGGCTTTATTTTCATTACCCAATAATCAAGATAAGAATACAAGGGAACCATGGTTTACTTTAATCACGATGAGAAGTTTTTACAATATTAAAAAAAAAAAAAATTAAACAAGTAGGTTTAAAGTTATGACGAGTAGACAAAAGAAACTGTCGTTAACGTTGTATGTCGTTCCACTATCGTTGCACAATATTTACAATATTTAAAAAAAAAAAGATTAAATTACAAGTAGGTTGAAATTCATATCGAGTTGGCTGAAGAAAATGTCGTTAACGTTGTATGTCCTTTTACTATCGTTGAATAATATTTACTCTATGTTCATATCTAGTTATATTGTTGTTCGTTACTTTTGCTGGATGATCGCTTCTCGCAGTTTATTGTCGTTGGCACCAACAACAGTTTCAACCTGAGAAAAAAAAAACGTTACTTAATCAGATGCTGAATGCTAGTTTAAAAGGAAGATATAGGCACCCGATATAGACCTCATTCGTCTTGATACAACTCTAGGGAATAACAGGTGGTGTTAAATGGGTAAAAGGGTAAAACAATAATGGTAATGCCCATTATTGTTGTTGTGTGTTTTTGTTGTTGTTGTTGTTGTTGTTGTTGTATTCCTTTTTAGAAAACTTTTCTTTTCTTTTTTTTTCTTTTTTTTCTTTTTTTTGCTTACCATTTTCCCATTCTTGTAGAGCACAAAAGTCGGCATCGCTAGAATCTTTTCGTCTTCAGCAATGTCCTGAAAATTAACGCAAATATTTGTATGGATTCCCAAAATACTGATGCAATATCAGCGAAAAGTCATAAAAATTATCGAATTTTCCCAAACTTTGTATGCATGTTTTCCGGCATTTCTTCTTCGGTGCTGGAATTATTTACATATGAATATCTTACATTTCAAGCTTGGTATGCAACATGCAACATGCAACATGCAACACGCAACACGCAACACGCAACACGCAACACGCAACACNCGCAACATGCAACTTAACATGCAACATGCAACATGCAACAAGCAACATGCAACATACAACATGGAACAAACCATCATTAATAGTTTTTTAATAGCTGTTTACGGTTTATACTTGATACTCACCTCATTTTCATCGACATCCACCTTAGCAAACGTAACATCACAAAATTCTTCAACTATTTTCTATGTTGTCACATACAAAAAAGTAAGTTAGCAGTAAGCAAAATAAGTAAAATAAATAAGTCAGCAATCAAATACACTTTACTGAAATTTTAACATAAACATGCGAACTCTTGCTGCGAGCTGTATGCTGAAATTTGGTTTTTCGCTGCCGTCAAACAAACCTAATTAGTATATATATATATATATATTGCCACAGTACGATTACAATATTCTTTTATGAGGGTTCGCGTTCCAAAGATAGCGGTGATGATTATCTTGGTCAACACTTTATTAACATTCCTTCATCAAGCGAACGTTTCCTATCGAGGATTCTCTTTTCTTAATTAAAAATTTCACTTAATGTTAAAGTTTATTGTTTCGTTGTGCTTTTCCTTAATGTCATTTCCTTTTTCTCGTGTAGACTCCATTGTTAGGAAACTCTCCCTTTTTTATTGCATTTTTTCAATCATTTATTATTATTATTTTCTCCAATACAGTAAATTTTATTTCTTTGGTTTTGTACGTACAGCTGAATGAAAGATAGTTTCATTCTACCTTTCTTACCTACCTTTTTAAAATAGCCTTTATTTTGTAAATTAGTGTAATAAATAAATAAATAAATAAATATAAATGTTTTTGTGGGGGTTGGGGGGGGGGGATAAGTAAAAGCATTATTAAATATTAGATTGTTACAATGACAGAACAGAGCCATAAATAAAAGATAAGAGAAACTCGAGATGATATTAAAATCATAGAGAGTAAAATTAATGAAAATTTAATAAAAGAAAAAAATGACGTTTAAAACCATGTTTGCGCAAATATTGTCGGTACGAGAATAAATTATGCGATCTCGTTAAAAAATTATAAATGCATAGGCAATTATGTTTTCCTCTTCGAGTTAACAACATTAATGTTTTTTTGAAACCTAATCTGTCGACCTTTCCGTAATAAAACATAAAAATATTTCCGTTAAGCCTTAGGAAATATTCTATTTTCCACTAAATCAACCCTCACTATTTATAGTCTTTGTGTTTCTTTTTTCGCATATCCATTAAACTTTCTCTTTTTTCCTCTTGCTCAATAGCAAATTAATGATTAAATTCATCTCAAACTTCTATAGTCGTTTACTATTATCTTTGCCATTATCATCTATCGTCTGTTGCCTTTTTGATGCGACTAGGTAGATTTACTGTAAGCATAAGATTCAAAAACAGTGACTTACTTTGAATTGTGAAGCGATTTGTCGACAGGGTCCACACCAGTCGGCAAAGAACTCAATGACAATGAGTCTACCATGCTCCTGTTGTTTAAGAAATCCATCGAAGTCACTCTAAAATGGAATGAAACATTAAAAGTTAGGACATTCGCCTTTACATTAATATTCCATTAAAGTGGGAGTTTTTTCCCCTTAGTGAATGATTCAAAAATCACAAATCTAATGGGAATGAAATCTATTTTCTCGAATCCTAAGAGTCCAAGTCCGGTATCTTTTAAAAGTAGTAAAAAACTGCTTAGTTTTTAAAAACAATGCATCAAAAAACAAATAAAACGGTGATGTAAGAAGAAGAAGACGAAGAAAGTTCACTCTTCGGTCTTGACAGGTTTTTACTGAAAAGCGATTTGTTTAAAAAAATCTTTTTCCCCCTCCTAAACAGACAGCTAGGACATATATACTGATAAGAAATAAACTCACCCTATTCTTGATTTCTCTCATATTTTTCGAGGATAAGCTACTACGTGTATTGAATATTTTTTGGGAGAAGCGACTGATGTTTTCGTGAAAATTGAAGGACAAAATGCAAATATTGAATAAGAAGGAATAAGTAATGTCATTATGTCACGCAATACAATAGTCACGTAGGAACAGCTGCCGGAAATAGACCTCTTCGGTTCTGACGTAATGTTTTCCCATTTCAGACCACATGTCATTCCCTAGAGTATCGTTTCTTTGTTTAAGGGGCTCGGTTGCACACGAGAAGACAAATGAATATGGATACAACTCAAACAAAGAATGTTATTCAATTATGACACGTGGTCTGAAATGGGAAAACATTACCCCAAGCCGAAGAGGTCTATTACGACTTGCGAGTGTTTAGTATTGAAAATCAGAAACTATTTGAAAAATAATTACCGTTGATATTGTAACGTTGTGCCTTTCCCTTTCATTCTCTTATCATACTCAACATACACAAAACCAGTCGACTCACTCGCACACACACTAGCCTCGTGCTCTAAGTTACATTTTATCCCCCACTAGGGGAGGGGTACGTCAGTCGCTACAATATGCTGCTTCATAAATTTATGAAGATATCAATTTATTAAGATATCAATTTATACTTTAACGTATTTTTGTATCTATCGCATACTGCTCGATTTTATCAATGAGAAAAGTGAAAAGAGAGCACAGAGGGAGGAAATAAATAAAAGGACTTCGATATTGGACTTGCCTACCATCTCGAAATATTCTGCCATAATTGATAGGATGAATCCAATGCTTCGTTTGCACCATGATTATGTTATAGCCGCCATCTTGGTTGAGTTGAACAAAAGAATTGTAAAAAATGATTTCTTCTGTGTTATCTCAACCAACATGGCCGCCGTGTCTTATACGCGATATAATCGCACCCAGAAAATATGCGTTTTTGAACAGGTTTAGGCTTGTTAAAATACTAGAAATCTTTGACAGAAAACAAAATCCAATGTTATTGGAAATATTAATTCCTTTCTTGAACTATTTCAAGTGTTTTTAGATATGTACAGCGCGTAGAATTTGAGAAGAAAAAATCTTTTTAAAATACTAGAAATCTTTGACGGAGCGTCATCGGTCTTAGTTCTATTCATATCTCATTGGTTGATTACCCAGAAGTCGTTTGGGTAAACGAATATTGGTAAACAAAACATACACTACATAACCTGACTGTCTATAGTTGGTTGAACCATCATTTATCTAAATAGGCTCTTCCAATTAGTAGGATGCTTGGGATATTTAAAAATTGAAACTCGCGAGATTGCACTTCCAAGGCCATCAGTATTCTTTACGTCACTTTCGCTTTACATCTTAGTTTCAAAATGAAATAAATTTTCGTACCCAGAATGATTATATATTTCTTATTTATTGATTTTTAAGAAATAATAAAAGATTTGCAGTCTTGATCCTTGGTAATAGAATGAGTGAATAGACAGCAGATAAAGTTTGTTTCATAAAAACCGATATCGATAATGCTGAAACATTAAAGAATGTATGTTGACAAGTTTCGTAAAGTGATTAGGATGAGGTGCAAGCGTCAATAGACCTGATGATGCATGACTTGTTTTCCAAAAAAATTGCCCCAGTCCGTAAACTGAAATTATTATATTTCCTCTTTCGTTTTCTCAGCATAAATTATACTATATTTTTTCCCCTTCCTTTTCCCCATTTTAATGGGTTCAATGGCAAATTTATTCGCCCTTCTTTGCAGTCTACTTAAAAAGATACTGAGCATAATGTGTACTCACATATTTTCTTCTATATTCTGCACCAAAAATGAATTTAATACTTGGGCCATTCGCACCCCTCCCCCCACGTGATGCTTGTGCTAGCATCTACTTCGTCATCACATTACAAATCAAATGTCAAGCGAGGGGATTGTTATTACAGAATACTCTATAACTGATCGACTTAGTGGGTTCTTTCTTCGTGTGTTGGCATGTTTTATCTTTGGTGCTCACTCTTAACAGCTCTAGTCTTGCAAACCGTGGCTGGTACGACGGGTAAGTTAACATCGTGACTTATAATAGGTAGTGAATACTTGATCGTCACAATGACCTTACATTTCAATGGTAATCAAGACCAATATATTTAGCCCTTAGCGTGTTCATTTCCGTACTGAGCAAGATTGAGGCCATTTACTGCTAAACAAAAAACTGTATTCAAATATAATATTTTATTCGATAGAAAATAACGTATACTTTTAGATATATATCTTGTTCTTCACTGGTGATAAAATACTATTGCGGTCGAGTTTCCTTACCTTAGCGTGCAATGAATATATCCGTGAAACACTAATTACTAAATTGTTCAAAATAGTGCTAGTTAAGCAAAAGAAAACAATAGAACTAGCAAAAAATAGTGTTAGTTAGTATTACTAATATTTCACGGATATATTGTTTGCAGTCTAGTAGTCGATGTCAGCATGCATGGTTTATTTGTATGATCGAAAGTGCTGTCATTCAAAGCTCTTGACATTGCTGGGTCAAAGCATGTTCAAGTCAAACAATCAAAAGATCTTAGGATTTAACGTCATTTAATACTGTTTGCAAAGAACTATCAGTGAATATTTATAAAATTAAGTAAGGTTTATAGTCTTACCTTTTTCTTTATAAATTGATAGGTTAAGACTTTTGCGTTGATTTATTATTATTTTCTTTGGGTAGAAAGCATTTACGCTTTTACGACATTTGTCCAATTTTTTTATATTGTAAAAAAGGCTGGCTGGTAATGGATAGTTTTATTAATATTAATATTAATATTATTGTAATTTATTCATCCATGTGTGATCCCAATCAATCCCACCCATCCATCCCATCCATCCCATCCATCCCATCCATCCCATCCATCCCATCCATCCATCTGGTATCATCATCATTTCTCATCTATTCAGTCTGGCCAAGAGGAAGATACGCTCTTCTCAAGCCCACTACTGGCTGTCCTGATGGATGGAAAGGCAAAGGATGGCTTCTCCAGGATACAGAAGACACCAGTCCAAGCAACAACAGATCTGAGATCCTACACATTGATGGATACGTTTCCCCAAGCTATGTCATTCGATCTTTTTGTGTTAAGACAGATACTAGTCAAGGACCTAACTGGCCACAAGGTAGTGATTTCGAAGTAAAGATGTTTTCAAAATGAATTAAACTACGATGATTAAAGAGGCATAACCTTGCGCAACATTGCTGTGGTGTCGTGGTGCATCAAATGGGATGCAAATTGCTGTGATTTATCTCTGCATTTTTACGGTCAGCGCGGTTTTGCTGTCATTTTAGCTTTATTATTTTCCTATGTCATACCTTGCGAGCTTCTCTGCCCTGCACTACCTTGCTCTGCCTTCTCATGACTGTTATGCTGTGGTCTGTTTCTTTAATTTTTATCCTTCTGTGAAGTGCTTTTCTGTTGTCACTAGAAAAAGAAAAAGAAAAAGAAAAATATATACACCAAATCTCAAAAATTCTGACATTTACTCGGATATATATAAATATATATAAATATATATATCCCCATATTTCTTTTGTATTGTCTTGAATAATGAGAAACGGTATTAAATAATCGAGGCAAGAAAAAGAATGGTGATATTATATATTTGTATATATCCGATAAATGTCAAAACTTTTGAGATTTGGTGTGTGTGTGTATATATATATATATAGAAAAACCAAAATTCCATTTTGCTTTTTAGGAAGGTATTGTATATACAGAAAAAGAAATGAAAGCAATTTGACTGGATTAAGAGCTGGTTATATCAAAATGAAACATGAAACAACTTCCAACAAAGACACAGCAAAATACGTTAGTTTTAAAGACTGGATAAAGTTCTCGCTGAGTTCAAAATATAGTCATCTCGTACTGTACTTCCAATGCATGATCAACGGAAACACTACCGTCCCAATCTCGTTACCGATAACCAAACCATTTTATCTGCTGCCTTATGGGTCACGTGACTGTCAACAAGTCAAATGGATGGTAGCAAYAACTGAATGGATCAAGTACCACACACGTGACTATAATGATAGTCATGAAGTATCTAAAATAGCACCATATCACGAAGTTGGTGACATCAATCAAGGGAATCACTATGTATTACTGCTACTATCAAAGTAAGTTCACGGTTTTGACGTCACTTAAATTGCCGTTCCTATGTGACCACCCATTTTGCTTCCAAAATGCAACATTACTTACCAAATTAAAATTTTTTWAAATTGAATTTTGATAAATTTTGATATGTTTTTCTTTTTATTATCGTTTTTTCCTCGTCAATTTTAATGTTAATCATGTTTGTACTGTATGTAAATTGTATGGAGAGGGAATATCAATTGGGACGAAAGTTCTGTTTTCTTCGTCAGTCACAAAATTTGTATGTCTCAAGTTTTATAAAATGTATATGTTTATATTGTGACAACTGAACGAAACTAAACTAAACTAAGACCACGGTGACTACTACAAAGGGTTTACCAGGAATTAGAGGAAAAGGAGGGGTGACTGTTACTAACGATATACTGAGAAATTCGAGCAAAAGGGGGGTGAATTGTCACCCCTTTTACCACCCCTGAATCGGCCCCTTTGTTTGCTACGATTCAGCTGAATGGCATATATGCTATTAGCTACAGGTTGCTGAAATTAATTGACGGATTGATCGAACTGAAGACGAGTTGTATGGAATAAGTCTAAATAGATGAATGATCAAAGGTATACTTGGATAGTCATTATTCGAAGTATTTAGCTTATTATACCAACCTTTACAGGTTGCAACTACACTCTGACAGACAAGAAAGGTGTTTTCCAGTCCCCTGGCTTCCCTGGTAAATACCCGGATGGACAGCTGTGCTCGTGGAGGATCATGGTCCCCGATAATCACACCGTACGTGTTCACTTCACTCACTTCTCTTTGGATGAAAACGACACACAAGATGTTTTAGAATGGTACAAATCTATCAACAGCTCATTCCAACTAAAAGAAACTCTACATGGATTTATACAGCCCTTCACTCTTACGGAAACCTCTGACTTATTATTCAAATTTGTTTCAAACGAAGAAGGCCACACTTTAGGATTCAGAGCAGAGTATACTGTATTCATACCAGGTGGTAAGTAGATCCCTTTTCTCATTCGGTAAATACCGCAGTGTTTTATGACTAAAGACTCATCTGCACTGGCTTAGCCTCGCTCAAGAGCAAATCATTTGCAAAAGTCAACTGTAATGTAAAGAATGTTGGTGCAGGGACTTTAAGGTTTGCAAAATCTGCGACGGCGACGTCTACCGGAAGTGTAAACAACTTTACTTTGGGGTTTCGCGCCTTCCAATTTTGTCTTCCCTGTGAATGAGTTGACTTTACTGATAAATCTGATAATCTTCAATGACCAGAACCCCAATTAGAAATTATTTACACTTTTGGTTGACGTCGCCGTCCATCTTAAAGTCCCTATTTTGAAATCCCACGGACTTTTAAGTGAAGTCGGCCTGTATGTACTGGTATCTTGGTTTCGGTATCAAAATTGTTGATAGATTTGATTAGAAATGCATTTGGACTATTTGCTAAAAAAAAATACAGCCTATACGAACAAAATGCTCTTTTCCTTTCCAGAAACAACACTGGAACCACCTTCTTCAACACCAGAAGCATCTAATTCACCTACCACTAATACTAACACACCCATACCAACAGAACACATATCAGAAATAACAACCGAATCCACCATGTCTAGGAATCGTACTGCATTTGCCCTTGAAGCTCAGTGTAAAGGGGTTGGCACGATTGTTGTCATAGTGATACCACTGGCTTGTGTGGTGTTCGTCGTCATCGTGATCATCATTGTTGTGTACCGATATAGGTTAGTTAAGCCAATGCTGTCAGTTATAAAAGTCATCGATCATTATTACACTCATTTATTCTGTTCTGGTTTGATTTTTATCGCGTCATGCTGGCATTGAAAGGAGAGCCCAGACAGCGAATAAGCCAAAAATCGTGTCTCGTAAATTTTACTCCGATATTATAGACCAGTTTTCGTATGGCTGTAAAGAAATCGGTGCCGCATGCGAGCCTTGCCTCGACCCTCATGTTTTCTAGAACTTTGATTGGGGGATTTTTATCTCGCGCAATGTGATTGGTCTGGCAGTGCCGTGACATTGGCGTGACCGTGTCCATCCCGTGTTCGTGCCTGTTTTTGATTGGGTGGAGATTAAATTCTCACAGCTGATTGGGCTGGCGTCTGCCTTGCCGTGTCACGACCGTGTTCGTGCCTTGAGCTTTTCGCAGTCATACTAAAACTTCTCCATATATCTTGGTACAACTCTGTGCTTGGCTCTATGTGTAGAATAGGTGTGTATTAACGATTCTAATGTTCTTTTTTCTTCTTTTTCATTTCGTTTCTTTAAAAAAACAATAATCATAGATTAGCACGATCAAAGGGCGAAAAGAAAGAAGAAAGGTAAAACAATAAAATTAGGTTTCTCATCCGTCTGCTATTCTAGTTCTTAAAATGTTTTGAAAACCCTTTTTTATCATCAGGATAGAAGACAAAATAGCAGCGAATCCAATCTATGATCAGTAAGTCTATTATCACTAGGAAATGATTTATTATTATTTAATAGTGTCATCTCATATTCGTACCAGACCCGTTGCAACATATTCCCAATACAGTTCAAAGGAGAACAAGACAACAGAATAGACCAGTTTCGAATTCCAAATTACCGCTGTGTTCCTTGATTACAGACTCATTTGCACAGGGTTAGCCTCGTATCAGTGTTTAAATATTCACAAATACCAACGGTAAAGGAAAGAATGCACACAACTTCAACAATACAAACACTTTGAAACTTGACGGACCTTGACTAGAACACGTGAATATTCTGCACAAACTCGAGGCTAACCCTGTTAAAATGAGTCTGTAATCAGGAAACACAGCGGTAATTGGAATTCGAAAAGGGTCTATTGTTCATAAGGGATTGAAATTCTTACGACAAGAGTAGTCTATATTATAACCATTTTCAAACCAGTGTTTTATGTGTTTTGTTAGAGGAGATATTTTACTGACCGAACGAGGAAGCATAACAACAATCAACACGACCATGGACTTCAATGGCGGACAAATGTACCAAACGCTATCACATGATCAAAAGACAACAACAAACGACGAATACCATAGTGATTGTCAGATGTACCAGAGTCTGTCACGTGACCAGAAACCCGGATGTGACGGTCGTAAAGAAATGGACGACCCGAGTACGGACTTTGGGCGCCCAACATATCATGAGCTGGAGCCCGTGGACCATAAGGTCCCTGACGTGGTGTACGGTGTGTTAGAGGGACCAGATCCTAACGATGGACCATCAGGTGATCAAGTGTACCAGGCGGTAGATGAAAACACTACCCATGAACCTTTTTACCAGTATACGGCCCCAGGTACCATGGTAACGCAAAATCACTTGTATGACAGGTAATCATGATCGTGTCACGTGACTTGGGTAATGATTCGGAACAACAGCAGACATTAGAGTTACACTCTGTTGCCTTCAAACAAAGGTCTCTTTTCTCATTCATTAAATACCAATGTTTTTTATGACTAGACTCATCTCCGCAGGCTTAGCCTCGCAAATCATTTGCAAAAGTCAACTGAAAAGTAAAGGATGTGCAACTTGAACAATATCAATGTTTTGAAATCACACGGACTTTTAATGGCTAAGCCCGTGCAAATGAATCTGTGGCCCGGCCTCAAAATCAGCGGTATGCCAACGAATGCGCAACTGGTGTATTCGTGTTGCATGCATTTGGGTCAGTTTCTATACATTTATTGTAATGACCCAACTGCCTCGACTTGAAACGAAGGCAATAGAGTGTAACTCTGATACATCTCCATTGGTTATCAAGCATTATATCAAGGCTTTTTCTAACCGGAAGTATCATATTATCGTGATATAAACGTATGATCATTTTGATAACAGTTTTTTTCTATCTTGTTTAGTTTCACCTGAGAGCAAAGGGAGCAAGGACAATCAAAGTGGATATAGAGTTTATCCGGCCCATTTTTGCGTTTACTAATTGTGAATTGTCAATCGATCCATGCAATGCATATTTTTATGATTAATTCTTATCATTATTCTCATCAAAAGAACATGTTGAGGGCTGATTTTCAACTAAAAATACACCAACATATTTTGGTCTATAAAGACTTCGTTCAATCCTTCATAATTATCAGTTGTTTAAAACAAAAAAAGCGAAAAGCCATATGATTATTGTAATACTTGCAATTGTATATATGATATAGGTCATGTGCAAATATATTATTTCAGATTGCTATTCTGACCGAGTTTTAATGGACATTTTATGAGTTGGAGGAGAGGGGAGGGTCAGGGAACGGTACACTAAAATCTCAGCATACAATGCATTCAACCCCTTCCCCCTCCCCCCCAACTTACTGATTAAAACTTCCTCTCCTCCTAGTTTCCGGTGCTTTATGATGACTGACGTAGAGCCTCAAGCATCAATACCTAAGAAAAATATCATAGATTAAAAGAAAGAAACTGCTAAAACGATAGCTTCATTCGTCATTCAGTTCTGTTATGATTCAGTTCAAGAAAGGATATGACACAATCGATTCAGTCTTTTATGATCTTTTCACCCTGACGCCAAGCTCACTCTAGCAGTTTACGCAAGTTGGAGACAAATATTCTAATTGTGATTCAAAGGCATTCAAATTTGCATTCCGGAATATCTGATTCGGCTACATCACTTTATTGCGATTCCACAGATTTCACAATAAATTAGCTTTTCATTTACTTGCAATATATTGATTCATATCTGGTTGTATGATTCAGTACTGAAATCTTGTTTACAAGCAGGGCCGGTTTAAAAAAAAATCTTGCATGACGTTCATATTGTGTTTAGGAATGAGGAACATGATGTGTCATGTTTGTTACTATCGATATTGTTGACCGATACTTTAGGAAATAATTTTTTGAACAGTTTCGCAAGTAATTTTTGAATGAGATAAAGGGTGTCAAAAGATGACTCATTTGTAATTGCAAAACAAATCGGAATAGCGATAACCAGCTTCTGCTTTCATTTTCTGTTATACGCTACTTATTCTAAGCAGCGTGTTACAGCGTATTACTCATGCATGTCTTCTTGGATATTTTCTTTGTTTTCGTGGTACGAACGTGCAATAATAATACATTGTTCTTCCATGGCCGGGTTCCATGGTTGGTTAACGGCATAAATTATATTCCTAGGGAGAGGGAGGCTCAAAAGTACGTCAACTGAGCCTAACCTGATCAACTTCTTATTACAAAATCGAATAGTGTTTACCTCTAACAGATATAATTTTTTCCAATAAAAAGATTTCAGTTTTGAAATAAAGATTGAGAAGTAGTGCCCCTATTTTGTCTGTCTCACCGCACTCTACCCCCGACAAGTGCCTCGTACGCTGACCCCGTAACAATACGTCACAAAACACTGACAAGGCTTTAAATAACTGATCTGCACTGAAGACCGTCTTACTTCAGTTTACATACAATGTCTTGGCATTTGATTTTAACACTGCTTCTTCAAGTAGTTGGTAATACAGGTAAGTATACTATGCACACTAAGCAGCAAGGAAACACAATCTGGATGAGAAAGCTTTTCTTCTCAAATCGAAACAGCAGCTTTATGCAACTTGATTTCTATTTCCGCTATAGAAAGTGAAGTGCTTGAAGATCTTGAATTCCGACTTCAGCAGACTGTAGCAGATTCGTTGCTTTCACTAGCAAAAATAATATTGTAATCCCTTAAAATTCACTAGATTACTTTTAAAATATATGGTGTAAATTTAGACTAGAGGTCGACTAGAGATCGACCGATCAAGCTTAAGTGAGCCTGAAAGCTGAAATCCTTGTATTTTTAAGAGGATTTTTGATATTAATAAGGTAACATCAAACTTGAGTACTGCACTTTTCACAGGATTTACGCGATAAACAGTTGCTTTAAAATTTGAACCAAGCCTATATATAAGAAGTTGGGAATTGACTGTGTAACCATGCGGGATTAATCAGTGTAGTCCATCAATGGATATCGAAATAACTGTCATCCTTTAGGCTATGTGCACACTATACCCCCCGGGTATACCGGATAGCAATCGTTTCGGCTCAAAAAGTATACCGGGCAGGCCTTGTGTTCACACATGGAACTCTTGTTTTTGGAGTGATTTTTGTATTGAATAGATGTTGCCCCGCTCCTGTTTCAAAAGTGATACATATTGTATCGGATAGGTTTTTGTGCCGATTAAAGTGCAGTATGAACAGCACGATCCGGTACGTAGCCGGATTAAGAGGTTTGAGTAAGAGAAGGAGTGGTAACTACTAGTATTAAAATCCAAAATGCTGGCTCATGCTCCATTTCACGCCTGCTCACATTGGGACCGGGAATACCATGTGCCGTTTTAAAAAGCTATCCCGTAGTGTGAACATAGCCTTAGACTTGCTGAACGCAACCTCTACAAGGTACATAGCTCTGCATGTGATGCCGGCTGTTAAAATGAAATATTAAAACAGCATTTCTTAGGCTTGATTTCCAGCTGTGGTGGTTTCTTCGGGTCCGCGAGGAGGATGCTTGGCACAAAAGAAAACCTCACGGCCTAAGCTTTTCTTTGGCCACTTCTGAATGTTTCTTCAATTGGTTTTACGTACACGAGAATTTTCAACGTTCTTCTCTCGATTATTCTATTCATATGCATTATTCTTTTAGTACATATAAAACTAAAAACAGAATCGTTAGTTGTATTTTTCTGTTCTATTTATACAGCCTTGACCGTGACAACATGGCCCAAAGGACTTTACGGACTGCTCAAACCTATCTCAGGGTGTCCTACAGGATGGTCTGACAAGGGCTGGATTTTTCAAGATACGGAGAATTATGATCCAAGTAACGAGAGATCAACGATACTGCATATGGACGGATTTGTTCTTCCCAGTAATGTACTTTTGCATTAAAACAACCGATGAAGCAACTGATTCAGTCACTTGGCCAAAAGGTATATACTTTCTTTTTTTCTCTTTTTAGACTTACCGGCAATTTCTTTATGATAATTTCTTAAATGCCTAAACAATGCCTGCACCATTCAGCGAAGGCCTTAGATCTCGAGTTGATGCGGTTGGTATTCGATTCCAAGTTTCCTTGATAGTATGACTACAGTTGCTATCGGTCGTGCAATCGTCAATCACTGATTGCAATTCGCCGTTCGCCCCTCAAACCTTTTTTGAAATAGCTGTATGGAGCTATATTAGAGCTGCTGTTTAACTTGAATTGTTTATTTCTTCTTCTTCTAAAGGACAGTATTGCATCTATAGAAGGTTTGGTAACTGGCTGGCTGGAATGCAGCGGGGATGGATTCGAATGTACGACGAAAATAATAGTGGTAGTAGTAATAGCATTCTCACAGTTAAAACATACTCGAAAAGTACAGACTTTAATTTTTACTGTCAAATAAGGGGTAACAAAAAGATTCCAATCTCGTTACCGATAACCAAACCATTTTATCTGCTGCCTTATGGGTCACGTGACTGTCAACAAGTCAAATGGATGGTAGCAACAACTGAATGGATCAAGTACCACACACGGAACTATAAAGGGAAATCTCATAAGTACGGGGGAGTGCCTTATCATGAACTTGGTAAAAAAAAGCAACAAAGGAATCACAATGTACTATTGCTATTATGAAAGTAAGTTCAGCTTGGAAGACTTCATGGTACTAGTTTTCTAAACTCAGGCAAGATGAGGTTTGAGAATCTTTAATAACGAGTTTTAAATTGCCGAGAAAAAGACTCAAAGAAAAGAAAAAAAAGGAAAATAAACAAAGTCTGCAAAGGCTATTATAAGCCATTCTAAGATTGAGGGACAAAACTGGGTCGAGTTGGCATGGCGGTGCATTGTGGGACTGTTTAGGGGGACAATCTACCAGCAAGATGGCGTCTATTCCGTCCCCTAAAACAACCCCAGATGCATTGCAATGACAGCTCGACCCAGTTTTTTCATCAACTCTTGAAATTGTTATTGATTCTGCATGTTCACACATTCACACAAAAATTTTAACACRACGTTTTACGTTTATCAAGTACTGATTTATCGAACTGGAGACGAGTACTATGGAATAAGTCTGCCTAGATGAATGGTCAAAAGCATACTTGGTTATCATTATTCTAATTATATTTAGCTTATTATGCCAACCTTTAAAATTGCAGGTTGCAACTACACACTGAATGACACCAGGGGTGTTTTCCAGTCCTCTGGCTTCCCTGGTAAATACCCGGATGGACAGCTGTGCTCGTGGAGGATCATGGTACCTGATAATCGCATTCTACATGTTTATTTCACTAACTTCTCCTTGTATGAAAGTGCAAAAAAAGACAATTTAACATTTTTGACATTTGTCGATGGTAGTTTTCACTTAAATGACACCTTCCATGGTCATCACAATCAACCATTCACCATTACGGAGACTAATGACGTACTTTTTGAGTTTCTTACAAATGAAGAGGGACACAGCACTGGATTCAGGGCAGAGTACACTGTATTCAAATCACCCGGTAAGTAGATTGAATTGCAAAGAAAGTGAGGCATAGACTAGCCTGCAATGTTAACTTTTTTCATAATATTTTGCGCATTATCTTATTACTTCAACATTTGATTTCAGTCCCCCCAGAAACAACACCATCCCCACAATCTACAACAAGAACTAATGGCCAAACAACAACAATAATACCCATTACATCAGAAACTAAAAACAAGACAAGTAATAGCACCAATGACAATTTTAAGAAATCTCGTGTGAGTGAATGCGATGGTGCAGACACAACGATTTTGATAGTGATACCGCTGATATGTCTGATCGTCGTCATTGCCATAGTTATTATAGTTCTCTACCGATGGAGGTATGCTTCAGTATATGTATTATTATTATTATTATTATTATTATTATTATTATTATTATTTTTTTTTGAAATTATATTTTCTTCCCGAGGGAGAGAGCAAACAAAGCCATGATAAAAAAATGCATGGTTTCTCACTCAGACGTACAATCACTGTTCTACTCTGTGCTCGTTTACTCAAATAGACCTATCCCGAATTCGCTTGACTGACCACGAAACAATGGTTTGAAGTCGAGACTGAACATGATTCTTTTATTCATCAAGTTCAACCTCGACTTGAAACCATTGTTTCGTGACCAGTCAAGCGAATTCGGGAAAGGTCTATTCTTGGAGTGCAACCACCTAACCGAAAAATCCCTTGTGATATAATTAACAAAGAATTGAACCAACCGCCATCTTGGTTGACCTAGCAAGAGAAGCTTAATGAGGAATGCTTGTATAATCAACCAGCATGGCGGCTATGACGTAACTTGCACCACAAGAATATGACTATATCTATCAATTTTGCTATGTCATTGATAGATAATATGCTTCCCTTAGACATATAATATTTTCAGTTATATATTCTAACCGAATTCTCACTTTGTTTGTTAGGTCAAAGAAAACCAAATGTGAAAAATGTGCATCAACAAGGTGAATTATCAACATTTTTTGAGCATTTTCTCTATAAACATTATTGTAGCAACTTGGTATTTGTGACATCACAACTTTGAAGCAGTAAATTAAAAATGCTTAGGGTTGAAAGTGCATGGGTGAAGATGCGGGTTGAAAGGATTGGATGGTATCTGATGGCCTTTCTCTGCCACCGTATACCGACAAGAAACTACATTGTTTTCACGAGTGATTTTCATTTCACATATCATGTGCACATGTACCTTTGTTCTTCTAAGCAGATCCTTTTGTATAATGTATGGTTTTTTTATACAGGTATCCTAAAGACGTCGCTTTGAATCCAACCTACGACGAGTAAGCAAAATATTATTACCGATATAATGTAGTGGGATTGCAGTGTCACTTTTTATTCATTCATTTTTATTTACAAATGTTACTTAATTTCAATAGCAAGATCTTCCTAGGTTTAACAGAAACTAATGAAAGTATTGAAAAGTGTAAGCAAACTATCAGGAGGGCTTTTAAAAGTTAGCACTGTAACTAAAAATATCTCTCATTCCACTACCATAGTGCGGGACGTATCCAATTACACCAGCGTGCAAGCACGGCAACCATGAACACAGCACTGGGTACAGACGACATTAACGGGCAAATGTATGAAACACTATCACGTGACAAGCAACCCGAATATCAAGCCCCTAACTACTCAAGGCAGAACGGCGCGAATGACCCAAGTATGAACTCTGAATTACCGGAATACCATGAGCTCGAGCCCATGGGCAATAATGTCCCTGACGTGGTCTACGATGTGTTAGAGGGACCAGATTCTAATGGTGGACCATCAGGGGACCAAATGTACCAGGCGCTAGATGAACAAACTACCCATAATCCTTTGTACCAATCTAACAGTCCCGCTACCATGGTAACCACGCGAAATCCGATGTATGTTCACAGGTAATGTCAAATCTCATTTTATAAATATTTCTGTACAGTAGTTTATCATATGGTTTTTAAACTTATTTTCACTATATCAATAACAGTTTGACATTAATAAACCCTTCATGGATCGAAGGCAAATATTTGTTTATTTTCTACACTTAGAAAATGATCACACCTACTAAACCAATCAGTGCCCAGTAAATCAGTGCTCTATATCCCATTAACAAAGTGATAGGGGTCTTGAAGCACAGGGATAAGCGGGCTTATTAATTAGTATTCTCTAAGTTAGACATTTAATAATATTCTATATAAACAGAATACTTAAAAGGCCTTTTGTTTTATTTTGTAGGTCATGGTCTTAATAGTATTCTCTATAAGAGAATATTAATGCTAACTTAAAGAACACTTATTAATGAGCTCTTATTTCCCCTGGGGTGTAAGGCTCTTTCCACTTGATATAATGCAATTGCAAATTCATATTTACCAAAGATTTTTTTTTTAAATCGTAGCATTTTCAAATCATCTCTGAAATATCGTGATAAGACACACAACAGTGTAGACCTATTAGTGCCTAAGTATATATATAGACAGCCAACCAGTAGCTTATTTCTTTGGCTTTAGTGCCTTGCAAATCAACAGCCAAGGAACAGCTACTTCGAAGGATAGCGACTTCAATTTTACGACAATTAAAAAAAACAATCAGTGCTTTCATACGTTTTCAGATAACTCATACAAGAAATAAATTGCATTGTTCTTTTACACGTAAGGGTCGAAATGTTTACATTTGAAGACATTTCTGTGGTTTCTTTGAGTTGATTCTGGACCTCAGTTTGTAAATATCCAGCATTTAGACGATAAGTGTTCGTGTTCTTTGAAGTATAACTTCTTTAGATAAGCTAAGGTTTCTTACCGGCGTATGACAACACCGTATGACAAGGCATGAAGACTGATGAATGGACATACTACGCGGACTACCTTCTTGAACTAGTTTACTTTGACATTCCCTCTTACATCTAGTCAAACTATTATTCGAAATAAATACAGATAATATGTTAACATTTTTCAGACTTTGTGTATTATTGAATAGCATACTTACAATTCTGTCCTGAAATTATAGTTGAAACTTGACAGAAACCTTAGCCCTTGTGTCTCTTCAGTCATGTTTCACCATGACTATGCTAATTCTCATTCCAATTTTGTTATTCCATAGCTCACAAAATATGCCGTAGAATTAATGCTATTCAAAGATTCATATCTCTTTGGAGAGGAACAAACGACGTGACAAACAAATTCATTCATAATCGTTCTCTTGGGTGTGAATGAATGAGCGCTCGTGTCCTATGGGATATAGAGTCTCGCATTCGATAGAAAGCGACGAGGGCTTCGCCCTAATGTTCTGAACTCTATTCTACAGAACACTCGCGCTCATTATCAGCCCTTGCTAAAAAAAACTCTTTGTTGCAAGAAGGATTTGGTCACGCGTTCGATATAAAAACGTAAGGACGTAACCAATTCTGTTTCATTCAAGACCGTCATTCAAAAAGCTAGACTCTTCACCTTAGGTAAAATGTTTTCCCATTACAGACCACTTGTCATTCCCTAGAGAATATTTGTATGTCTTGTCATGCGCAACCATTAAACAAAGAAACGATACTCTAGGGAATGACAAGCGCAGCTAAAAAAATCTTTTACAAAAAGTGATGAAAGTTTTACAGCAAAACTGAAACAAATTTCCATTACAGTGCGTTGCATGAATTCATTTTAGCCTTGAAATATTTATAAAAGTTTTTGTTGTTGTCTTTTGCAGTGTTGCTTAGTTTGATCAAACTAATGCCTGTATGACCACTACCCTGATGAAAGATTTTTCCATAATGGAACAAACCCAAGTTTAATGGTTCTGATCCTGAATAGTTTGCTTAAAGTCAGCCAAAATGGCAATTGAAACCTCACAAGTGCTGATATAGTAGCCCTGATAAAGGACTGAAATAAAAATCCGAAACGCTGGCAACCATTTACAATTTGCTTAATAACCCCCTTATATCTTTATCTTTTACAAGCAACCAAGACGTCTGATATGTGAAATGTTTTTTGTCAGCCTGTGGCTCGATATTTCAAAAGCCCATAACGATTTGCAGTTTACAAAAACTAGTTTTACTTGGCAATAAATACAGTATAATTCTATAGAAAAGGTGCATGTTACTTCATTGCTGCCATCTTGGATGACAATAACAAAGCATTCCTCATTAGCTTCTCTTGYTAGATCAAMCAAGATGGTGGCTGTTTCATTGTTATTCATATCTCWAGGGMTTTTGAGTCATGTGGCTACTCTATTGTCACTAATTAGCTGCATTAGAAAGATAAATATTTATATATGTAGATGTGCAATAAGTAATTCTATTGCAATACACTACTTCACTACTAATGCACATTTGATCTCATCATTCCAATTGATTACTCAGGGACCAAAATATGGGAAATGTGTTTTGAATTCATGAGACACAATTTGGCTGACACATGTGTGTCCTGAGTAGTAAACTAGTGTAAAAGTAGTGTGTTAAAAAGTGTTTTTAAAATTGAAAACTTTACGTCGCAAATGTAAGTGCCTAACTAAAAGTAATAAATTTATTTTATAGAACCGGCGCTTTTCGTTTTGGGTCCCGAAGTCGTTTCTCCATACGTCACTCTTAAAAGATCTGTCGAAATGGATACAGATCTACGTAGAATAATTCCCTTTTCTAAGTAGAATTAAAACACATATTTACACAACTAAAGACCGCAGGAACTATACAAACATGAACGAAAAACGTTGACCCCACGTGGCGCGGTTAGATAAACATTTTAAGCCTGTGTTCTCGGACCAACTGCTCACAAAAACTGCTAAAATAACAAGAAACATGTTCTCAAAGTTTTAAAATCCACCCGAAGGAACTACCTAGAGTTTTGAACAACAAACTTTGTCATAAAGGAAAAATAAGAAATATCTGGAAGTACGTGGAATACATGGAAGTCGTTTTTCCGTATGCATGACGTCTGTGCCAACCAATGTGGTTTGAGGTCTGTCGGTATAAAATGCCAAGGAACGATCTTGGGTTTGTCATTGAAACCTCGTACAAGGACCATTTTTGAAGACTGGAATTTACACTGTTTCTTTTTTTCTGTATTGTATCTCCTTGCCACAGCACTAACTCTTATCCAATCAGCATCGAGAAAAATTTTCACATATACAATTAAACTAGTGCTAAATAGTGCAAAGTATTGCACGCTTTAAGTGTATGTACTCCAGTAAGCCCAAGTATTGATAGATGTTTAAGAGGGGTTGTCAGCAAAAATCAGACATTTTTGCAAATCCGCGGCAAGGGTCGAAAATTTGATTTTGCTAATATTTTAAACTTAGGTAGGCCTTA